CTCTAAGGCGTCCTCTGGCTACCAGTATGAATTAAACACACATTACATTATGTGTGTACTCACTAATGTTCATAACACCCTTTTGGGTGTTTTGTTTTTGTCTCTCAGTGGATGCATAAGATTTTCTGACAAAACAGAAATTACTGCCACAGGTTTTATCATAATAATTTGATATTTTAAAATAAAACCTTAGACCTTTCTAATTATTTAAAGTTATAGGTCCCTTGCACTGAACTTTCACAACTCCCTTCCTCACTCAAGTATCACCAGCTCCAAAAGTGACAGCTTCCTAATATATACACTAATGTCTGTGTTATTAACATTAAATAACAAAAGAAAAAGAGAAAATACCTTACTACTCCTGACTGAATACCTTTTGTAGCTTTAATAATAATAAATTTCCTTTTAGTTGGTCACTTTCATTGTTGTGTCGAAATACTGACACTAGAGGTTACTCTTGGTAGCCCACACACCTCTTACATATTCAGAAAAGGCCAAAGTTGGCAAGTGGAATTTGCATGTCCAGCCACTCTCCTGGACATAAAAGAAGGGCTGACACACCACTCATTCAACTTTGTTCTTCAGAGCCAAAACACACACCTTATGCACTACAGAGTAGCAACTATTTCCACACACCTCGCTGAAATTTATAGCATGCTATAATGTTCTCCTCTCATTTGTGCACAGATACGTACAAGGAGTTCTCCTGGGTGCATCAACAGTGGCTTAAAAGAGGTAATTTCCTTTCTAAAAGCAAATTCCTCTAAGAGAAAAGCATGGCAGATTGAGTCTTTTTAAAGATGCCTTTCATCCATGGGTTTGATTTCTGTCTCCTTCTGATGGCCACGCCCACTGTCTTTAGTGCCTGGGTCATTCTCATGTGGAAGCTTGGGTGATGGTCATAGGGAATATTGTCAATGACAATTCTTCTGCTGCAGATCTAGGGGCCATCCACACAGAACACGTCGTTGCATCTAAAAACACAAGATGCAGTGCTCAGGAAGGTTTTTTTTTTTTAAAGTGCAGCGTAGAATGCCTTCTCTGCCCTGTTGTTGTAAAATACAACAATTGCTATGCCAACTTGCATTGATCCAAGATGGTGGTGCAGTCAGACGCAGTGGCTACTCTGGGTTCTAAAGACGGTGCTTTTATGTCTTTTAATCTCGTCTCTTCATCTCCAAATAATCTCACTTTACCGCTAATTCTTAAAGATTGTGTTCAAAAGCAGATCACAGTATTGCCAAACGATGCTAACTCAGCACTTCAGGACTGTTTCCAGGACACAGACTGGAACATGTTCAGAGAGGCAGCCACCTACAACAATCACACAGACTTACAAGAGTACACCGAAACAGTGACTGCTTATATCAAGCAGTGCATAGATGATGTGACAGTCACCAAGACCATCACCACACGAGCCAACCAGAAGCCATGGATGACAGCTGAGGTTCGCGGGCTGCTAAAAATCCAAGATGAAGCATTCAGATCAGGAGATAAGGCAGCTCTCAAAACAGCAAGAGCCAATCTGTCTCATGGCATCAATAAGGCAAAACATCAATATGCTCAAAAAGATCAACAATAACTTCAGTGACAGTAAAGACACCCGGACCCTGTGGCAAGCCATTCAGACCATCACTGGCTACAAGCCCCTGCCACAGGCCAGTGACAATGACACATCCCTCCCAGATGCACTCGACCACTTCTACTCACGATTTGAGATACAAATGACAAACCTGCACAAAAACTACACACATCTCCAAACGACCAGGTGCTCTGTCTCTCTCCAGTTGACGTAAGAAAGACCCTGTCCAGGGTCAACCCACATAAGGCTGCGGGCCCCGACAACATACCTGGCCGTGTACTGAGAGACTGTGCTGCACAGCTGATGGATGTCTTAACAAATATCTTTAACACCTCATTGAGCCAGGCAGTCGTCCCCACGTGTCTCAAATCCACCACCATAATTCCAGTACCAAAGAAGTCACCTGTGTCCTGCCTGAATGACTATCGTCCTAACTATCGCACTAACCCCAATCATGATAAAGTGCTTTGAGAGGTTAGTCATGCATCACATCAAGTCCAGTCTCCCAAACACGCTGGACCCATTCCAGTTTGCGAACCGTCCAAACCGTTCCACGGACAATGCAATATCCTCCACTTTCCACCTCGCTCTTACTCACCTGGAACAGAAAGACCCTTATGTTAGAATGCTGTTCGACTTTAGCTCAGCATTCAACACAATAATCCCTCAGCAGCTTATCAACAAACTAAACTTGCTGGGCCTCAACTTACCCCTCTGTAATTGTATCCTGAATTTTTTAGCTATAAGACCTCAGTCAGTCCATGTCGGCCGCAACACGTCCAGCACTACCACACTGAGCACAGGTGCCCCACAGGGCTGTGTGCTCAGCCCGCTGCTCTTCACGCTGCTGACTCACGACTGCACTGCCAAATTCAGCTCCAACCACATCATCAAGTTTGCTGATGACACAACTGTGGTAGGCCTCATCAGAAACAACGATGAAACACACTACAGAGAGGAAGTGGCACAGCTGGCTGAATGGTGCGGTGTCAACAACCTGTCCCTCAAAGCGAGTAAGACAAAGGAGGTTGTGAGGACTTCAGGAGACACTCTGTTGACCACCCCCCACTGACCATCGACGGCTCGGCCGTGGAGAGAGTCAGCAACACTAAATTCCTGGGAGTGCACATTACAGAGGATCTCACCTGGACCACCAACATCACGTCACTCAACAAGAAGGCCCAACAGCGCCTCCACTTTCTCCGCCAGCTGAAAAGAGCCTCCTTGAGCTTTGAGATGGTAGCACTGAATTAAGCCATGAATGCAACTTCCTACCTTTCTGCCGCCGCTGCCTCATAAGATGTAATATTATTATCTGTTATTATAATCCAGCGCAACGGCAACATGTCGCCATGTTATAACACAACATCTGTATTGCAAACTGTATTGCTGTTATTGTTGTTTTTAGTGTATGCATACAAACCCAACGTCATTGCCATAGAAACCAATGCAGATTCATTAAATTCATTACTTCAGACTTATGTGCCCTCTAGAAGCTTGCGTTCTGCAAGTGAACATCTACTTTCACAGACCTTTAAATTAAATGTTCCCTCCTGGTGGAATGACCTGCCCAACTAAGTCCTAGTAGCTGAGTCCTTAGCCATCTTCAAGAATCAGCTAAAAACACATCTCTTCCTTCTTTATTTGATCCTCTAACTCTAGCACTCTCTATTCTAATTCTATTCTTTAAAAAAAATGGTCCCTTTTAGACTTGCACTCTATTCATTTACTAACTGCTTGTTTTCTTAAAAAATAAAAAAAACTAACACTAGCTTCTCTAATCTTTTTGTATTCTATCTATTTGTTTTCTTTTTATTTATTATACAATTAACAAAAGCAAAAAAGGCCTCTAACACTAGCTTGCTCTATTCTTTTTCTATTCTATAGTTTTCTTTTTATTTATTATATAATTAAAAAAAAACTTTGCTACGTGTACTGCGTTAAACTAACTAGCTTGCTCTATTCTTTTTCTAATTCTTTTTCTATTCTATAGTTTTCTTTTTATTTATTATATAATTTAAAAAAAACTTTGCTACGTGTACTGCGTTAAACTAACTGCGTTAAACTAACTGAGACTTGTTATAGCACTTGCATATCATTGCTCTTTTGTTGATTTTGATTGCTTCCATTGTCCTTATTTGTAAGTCGCTTTGGATAAAAGCGTCTGCTAAATGACTAAATGTAAATGTAGATACTGAGAAAAATGAAAGAGCACCATGGACACACAAATCAGAATTGAACAGTTGCGATACACAGTGAGGACAGTCAATCATTTAGATCGGATTCCAATCGGATATGAACCAAAATCGGATTTGGACCGACAGTCTGAACAAGGCTAAAGAAGTTGATGATGTACTACAGGTACCCTTTTATACTGACGGTTGCACAGGTAGTAACATCACGGACTGTTAATAACATTGTCACATTTAAAGTAGGGCTGTCAGTTTAAAACGTTAACTTAATTAATTAGTTATGAAAAAATAACGCAATTAAATATTTTAACGCAGTTAACGCACTGGCCCCGCCCCCAGACCTGTACTTCATCTTACATTTTATATAGTTCACTGTTGACAAATATTATGCAGGGGAACAACACCAAAAATGCAGTTATGCCCTAAAATTCAAGATATTGGTGCAAAAAATGCCCGTTTGAGTTTTTGTCTCATATTTATATAATACGATATCACACGATCAGGGAGAGCAGTATTACACGAGAGATTATTTTGTCCCGAATATCACGAGCAACTTTCATAAAAGAGAGCCGTTTACTTAATTCCTGAATGAAGCAGCCATTTGAACAAATCGAATGAAGACATTTACCGCCACCTGCTGGCAGTTTCTTATTTAGAATATAATTTCATAAAACAAATCAATTATAATAATAAAAATAAAAACATTAAAGGGATAGGCCTAGTTCACCCGAAAAAAATTTAAATTCTGTCATCATTTACTCACCCTCATGTCGTTTCAAACCTTTCTTTTGTGGAACATAAAGTAAGGTATTTTGAAGACTTGGTAACAAAGCTGTTTTGGTTATCAATGACTTTCATTGTATGAACAAAATATACTGAGATGTTTCTCAAATTATCTTCTTTTATATTCCATAGTTTATGTTAGGCCATTGTAGCTTAAATGTTTGTGTAATACATTTTATGTTGAATCAAATAAAACTCTTTCTAAAGCTACAATTTGTAATGTCTACTTGATACTTTCTCATTTAACACAAAAATAGCTTTAAATAATCTTTTGTGGGTATTTTCAGTCAAATTTATTTAAAAACTTAAAAAGTTCAAATAACTAAATTAGTCAGGTTCAAATATTTAATATTCTAAGCAAATACAACTTAAATGTATCATATTATTTTCAGTAATTTTGTTGTGGAAGGATTTTCAGAGAGAGCATTTAGCTTGTTTTTGACCTCTGTTCTCCTGACGTGCCCAGAAGTCTTGAACTGTTTTGTTGATGTCACAATTTTCTTCCCGCAGTTCTCTCTGCCACTGCCTTAACTCTTGCACATCTGGACGCACACGCACCTGAAAAAACAATATGTTGACATAATTTAGCATTCACTACTCTACAGGTCAAAGGAAAAACAGATGCTCTAGGGTACACAAGATCCTTCAAAGACGAGAGGAGTCTTATTCATGCCTCCATATGAGTCAGTATCAGTTTTTGTTGTTCTTGTTGCATTTACACGACCAGTAGATGTCCTCAGCATGCTATGTTTTAAACACATATAAACAGTCAATCTAGTTAAAGCAATCTATCTCAGGGGTTTCAAACCTATCCTGGAGGACCCCCAGTGCACCGGAAGGACTGGCGCTTTTGCATAGTTTATGCTTGCTTTTTAATAATCATTTGAAACTGGCAAACTGGCAGCTCCAGTAGTAAGATTAAAGGATTTATCTTGAACTCTGTCATGGAAATATAAACCCTAATCAAACAATTTAATAATCAATTTAAAAAGAATTTATATCTGTACTGTTTTACGCTGTACGCTGTGGACGAGCGCTTTGTACAATTAATGGATGAAAGGATGATTCAGCTGCGGGCGTCATCTTCTGGCAAGACGTGGCAATTCATTTCGTGCGTGACTCTCACAGTGTATTATGGGTATTCTGGGTTATTATTACTGCATTATGGGTATTCTCAAGCCGTTGAGCATACATCAGTTGTACACTCGTTATTGCTGTGCATTGTGGGATTGAATGAGTGCACTCAATAATGTCCACTATGTTCCATAATGTTTACACTGTGTACTAGGGAGAGGGGGCCCGGAACGCGATTTCTACTTCAAAATGGGAGACAAACAAAATAATGGAAATTAAAAATGAAGATATTGCCGGTATCAGCATAAAACAAGGAATGTAATGAGTATGGAGTATGTTGTAGAGGCCACAAAGTTATCAGATTACTAATCAGGACCACCTGATATCTGACTCATCAGCTGATTCTGTTTGGTAAGTATATCATTTTAAATATGCTTGCAACATGTTTCACACTCTAGGCTGACACAAGTTTTTATTATCACAAGATCTACCATTATTCGCCTCATCTTAGGGGCCGTTTACACGACAACGGGAAAAAGCCAAAAACGGGAAACTTTTTATGCGTTTTGCCTGTTCATTTACACGACAACGGCGTTTTGGGGACTGAAAACGCATATTTTTGAAAACGGGTTTCAAAGTGCAAGTTTTTGAAAACGGCACCGTTGTTGTTTCCGTGTAAACATCCAAAACGGGAATCTTTGAAAACGGTGACGTCATGCGCGTGCGCAGTATGTGTTAGGTATGTAGACATGCTCAGTACATGTCAATTTTAAAGGCAAGCGCGAACAAACATACACAACAATGATGGAGTACATGGTAGAGGTCTTCTCGGGTCCTAAAATCTGTACCCGACCCAAATCACTTCTTACCCGAACCCGACGTGCATAAATAAAGTTGTCTGCAACCTGATCTCCGGCGAAAGGCTTCTGCACACAAAAAAGAAAAGCCCTGCATGAACACGCAGCATAATGAAGCGAGTGGATTTTCCTGATGGATCTCATATCTATAAGATGATGTCTGTGTGCTCCTTTTCTATGTGCATTCCTCTCTTAACACGAAAGTGAAAGTAAGCTACGCATTCGGGATAGTTTAAAAGAATTCGGGTCTAATCGGGTCCATTTGGGAAAAGCATGTTTATTTTAAATTACCCGAGACCCGAGGCAGCTAATACCGAACCCGACCTGTGTCCGAGGTACTCGTCGAAGTTTTGGACCCGAACCCGCTCGGGTCTCGGGTCGGACCTCGGGTTTTCGGATCCAAGTGGACCCGTGAAGATCTCTAGTACATGGTAGTGTTGTTGCCGCTCAAGAGTTTGCTAACGCTTCTTCAGCAAAGTGTGGATTTACTTCACCGATATTACAACCAACAGCGGAGACGCATCATTTACACACGGCAACAGGTACTGTTTACTAACAAGGTGGCAGCGCCAACTACTGGCCTGGCATACGTAATACAGCGTTTTTGGCCATTTTCGCAGATATGTGAAAACGCAAATCATTTTGAAAACGTT